AAAAAAAAAAAAAAAAAATAATAATAATAATAATAATATAATGGATCATAAAGGTTTGTACACTTTGAATTTTGAGATATAGATGCACAGGGAGTTGCAAAATTAAGAGAGAGGTTTCATGCACCCTTCACCCAGTTTTCCTCCAAAGGTTACATTTTATATGACTACAGTACAATATCGTGGCCAGGAAATTGACATCGGTAAAATGCATGTGTACCCTGCCACTTTATCCCACGAGCATATTTGTGTAACTCACAGCAACCGAGAAACAAAAATACTCCATCCCCAGAAAGATTTTCCTCCTGCTACTATTCACCAGTCTTGCTCATTCTACCCCACCCGACCTCAGTCTCCAGCAATCACCCATCTTTCCTCCACCTCTATACATTTGTCATTGTGAGGATGCTACGTAAATGGAAGTATATTTTATGTGACTTTGGGCATTGAATTTGTTCACAGCGTCATACCCTTGGGATCCATGCGAGCTGTTGCATGTATCAATAGATCGTCCTTTTCATTACTGAGTAGTCTAAGTTGTTAGCATTGCTTCTGTCACATGAGTAATACAATATTAGCTACCATGATCTGCATCAGTTACCTCTTTTATTTTGTATTTTAATTTTTTGAGACGGAGTTTTACTCTTGTCGCCCAGGCTGGAGTGCAGTGGTGTGATCGCAGCTCACTGCAACTTCCACCTCCAGGGTTCCAGTGACTCTCCTGCCTCAGTCTCCTGAGTACACAGGATTACAGGAGCGCACAACCATGCCCGTCAAACGTTTGCATTTTTAGCAGAGCCAGGGTTTCACCATGTTGGCTGGGCTGGTCTCAAACTTCTGACCTCAGGTGATCCACCCACCTTAGCCTCCCAAAGTGATAGGATTACAGACATGAGCCACCATCCCTGGCTGTTATTACTTTTGAAAACGTTTCTTTATGGAAATATCTTAGTCTCAGTGTACCTCCAACCCCCTAGCCTTAATTTCATATCCAAGCAATTGTTTATGAGAGACTTCCTTTTGCTACAAGAGTCCTTTTTTGGTCAAATGAGTGCAAGGCCACTCCTGACCTTTTTAAAGTTAATTTTC